TGTTAGAAAAATGTAATATTGAATATGTACTTACCTTTTCAAGTCAAATCAAATTGAAAATATATTGCACTGAACCGGAACTTATGTAATGCATGATTTAATTATATTATATGTTATAAGAGTAGACAACAAAAAATAAATAAAAATGTTAATAAATCAATAATAAATAATTAGAATTATAATTAATTAGAATAAAAAATAAATAAGCTGTAATACGATAATTAAAGCTCATATATGTATAATAGAATGTAAAATTGTAATCTTCTTTTTTGTTGCGGTTCATATTTTTATTGTGTAAGAAAAACGGTTGATATGTATATGTATATCAATAGATATAAAAAAATTAAGTATGAATTATCAATTTCAATAATTTAATTACTTAACATATTTCACACAATTGAGAAGTAGTATTGAATCGGTCACATTCTTTGCATTCCGATTATTCTACTATGGATTATTCTACTTCACTTTAATACTTTTCTAGTGACAAAAACAAAACATATGGTTACATTAAAATTTGAGGGCACATTATTTACGAGACATTTTTATATACATATACGGGTACCAATGTGTGTTTTATGTTAATCTATAAATATTTATGAAATTAGGACAAATAATATCTATTTAAATTTAAATATACAATTATGGGATATATTTGTATTAAGCTAAATTACGATTAATTAAATCAAACTAAAATGAATTGACGTGATATTAAATTTTTAAGTAAAATCAAATTGAGTTTCTGTATCGATTATAATTACGTTTACAGTTTAATTATATATTGATTGCATCAAAATAAGATACAAACATCATTAAATGATTATTAGATGATAATACTACTTATACATATACAGAAGGATAATTGAAGTACAAGGTACGAAGGCGTAAACCACAAATTTTGTGAAATCGATGCCGATGCGATTCGTGATATCCCGATAGAGAATTGTTGGTACGAATGATAATCTTCGATTGTCGATTTCGGAATCAATTTTCTCCTCACAATTTTCGATATGTTTTGTACTTTTCTTGGTGATTCTGAACGAAAACCAAGGCAGATTGAGGTGCATATTCTTCAAACCGTTCCATAGAGTAGGAGCTGCAAGGGAAACAGATTCCCTTCTAAATCTTGATAATCTCCTACTTCCGCGATGGAACATCTCGCTGGAGACATAATCGCTGGTCGAGCGAAGGACACTTGATAGAACATTCTCTTTTTCTTGCTCTTCTCGTTTTTGTGATCTCGAGAGTCGTCTGCTACCACGATGGAAGACTTCGGCGAAAACGTAATCCTCAGCCGACTGTAAAAATTTCGACAACATCTTATCATCTTCTTTGGAGATGATATCGACAGATTTACGCGGTCTTGAAAGTCGTCTGCTACCACGGTGAAAGACCTCAGCAGAAACGTAATCCTCGGCCGATTGTAGAAATTTCGACAATGCCTTATCATTTTCCTTGGAGGTATCGATAGATTTCTGGGATTTTGAGAGTCGTCTGCTACCACGATGAAAGACCTCGGCGAAAACGTAATCCTCAGCCGACTGTAGGAATTTCGACAACGTCTCATCATCTTCTTTGAAGATGATGTCGACAGATTTACGCGGTCTTGAAAGACGTCTGCTACCACGATGGAAGACCTCAGCGGAAACGTAATCCTCGGCCGACTGTAAAAATTTCGACAATGCCTTATCATTTTCCTTGGAGGTATCGATAGATTTCCGGGATTTTGAGAATCGTCTGCTACCACGATGGAAGACCTCGGTGGAAACGTAATTCTCAGCTGATTGCAAAAATTTTGAAACAGTGTCTTCTGGGACCACGTCTGTAGGTTTAGTCAGATCGGTACATTCATTGGCTTCTTCGAATAAGACTGGATCGCTATTGCATTCGGGAATTTGGCGATCATTTTCAATAGTTTCTTCTTCGACCGGATCTGGATTGTTGGAAGTGTTAATGATAAGGGATGATTCTTTTTGCAATGGACAGACTGGACCGTCCTCGTGCCATTCGGAGATCTTTAAATCGGAAACATCTTTATCAGTTTCCTGTTCATTTAGAATTGAAACAATGTCATTGGAAGTACCGACGGTAGCAACAGGAAATTCATTTCGTGATGTGCACGACAAACCATCCTCGAACCATTGGGAGATTCTTGAACGAATGTATTCCACGAATAATTCAAGTATCTCGAGATTTCTATGAATCAATCGCTCGACATATCGACCTTTCATTGTACTTTTCATTCTTGATGATTTAGTGATAGCGAAGAGATTATCAAGACTGCTCTTCACGTAATCAAGAAGATTCATTAAAGCGAATTTCAAACGCAGATTCTGTCGATAAAGACATTTTTTCATGTAATATCCTTTCATCCTGATAGATTTTAATTCCTCTTTTTCTTTTTCAATCATTTTTAATTGATCATCGATGAAGCACGTTTCATTTACATATTCAAGGACAGGAACGACATTCTTCTGAAGAACATGTTCAAGATAGCGACCCTTGAAACTCAAACGTCGTTCATGAATCTTCGACAAGTTCGATGACTCGGAGACGCTTGGTCTCTGTAACAAAAACTGGAACAATGTCATAATCAAGGACATTAGCCAGAGACTTTTGCGTCTCAGATATGTCGCCAGATATCTTCCCTTCATTCTAGAGGCGAAGACGCGGGTCGTTTTTGGTTTTGGACGAAAGTGTGTAACAACAGCGCTGATGTTTTGAAGCAAAATCCTTTCTACATAATGTGCTCGTGCGCATCTACTTGTTCTTCTTTTGGTTTCGCTTAATAAAAAGCCATCGAGGCCAATATTTTTTAGACCATCATATTTCTTCAAATATATATTTCCCGGGTTAGTCTTCGCGAATTCATCGACTTGTCGATCGCGAAGAATGCATGAACGAGTGTAACCGCGAAGGAGGTTCTCCAAGTAGCGACCTTTGAACAGCGATCTCGTTCCGACTTCATCATATCTAGTAGTACTGTATCTTCGAGAATGACTCGGGTTGACATAGCATTGTTTTGATTTGCATTTATGTGTCTCGCGATGCGCTTGATCTTCAGAAGTGAGAAATTCATTTGAATCAGATTCCGAAAGACATGAGGACAACAGTGAATTGTTATTGGAAGAACAGGTTGAACACGAGGAATTTGAAACGGCAAGGGGATGATTTTCTTCGAGTTTATTTTCCGTTTCATGCATCTTTACCTCGAACGGTTCCGGTGGTTCCGGTGTCTTGATGATGGTTGTCTCTGATCCTGGCGGCAATAAACCCTTTTCCACGAGACGTGCGATTACTGTCTTCTTGTCCTGTTTCTTAATCACAACCTTGTAAGTTTCTCCCTCGTCTTCTTCCACTTTCGCCTCGTTCTTCACCTTCGGTATTGGTCGTTGCGGCTTTTGCAGGAAAGTGGAAGTGCGCTTCAACTCTTGCACTCGCTCGGGCTCAGCTATCGCGATATTCTGCAGCTCCTCCAGAACTTTTGAATCTTTCAGGATCGAGGCTCGCGGTCTTAATTTCTTGAAGTTTACTCTATCGCGTCAAAGGAAAAGATAAAAGTTATCATTATTATTACTTAAAAAATCGTATTTTACTTAACACTTCTAAAAAGTATAAAATTTGAAGAAAATATACAAGAAGGATGTTCTATATATTCTTGAAATAGAATTTCAATTATTACTGTTGAAAATTTTACAATAAAATAAAAATAAACAAAATTTTCGATTTTTAACACTGAGAGAAAAATTCAGATTACTAACAAAATATACCAAAAAGAAAGACATTTTAATGAAGAAATTTTGTTCTGTTTCATTAAAATATCATTCTTGTTAGTATATTTTGTTGGTTTACTCAAAATATTTTTCCCAATAAGTAATTAATATAAATATATATATTAATATTTTCTGAATGTTGAAGATTCTTTAATATTTAAACTATTTTTAATTAATTTTTAAAAAAATCTTTTGCTTGTATTCTTTAAATGAAAAGTATAGCAAGCGGATGAATCCTTAATCGCAATTTCATCATTAATCGATTCGATAATATACTATTCGATAATATACACGGAAATATACCCTAATAATCCTTTATCGGACAAGAGCTCCTCTTCTTCGAGGATTAGCTGAGCGATCTCGTCATCCGTAAGATTTTTGTTGGTCACGATTTCGCTGTTGATATCTACCGGTTTCTCTTCTACGAGCTTCTCCTCCTCTTTTCTGATTTCGTCCTCAGCGGATAACGGCTCGACGATATTCTCTTCTTCGTATCGCTCGATCACTGTCTCCTCCTTTAAGATCTGTTCTGGGAAAACCGGCGGTAAGTCTGTAAGCTAATAAGCAAACTCGACGTCATCATCTCGTCGCCACTTTCTCTGGTACACCGTATCTCTCTTTAAATGTCAAACAGATTTGAGATCACAAATTTTCCCCGTTGAAAGGCAAGGTTTAACTTTCGATGATAAATATCGCAATATTTTTTCGTAGATAGGAAACAAGTAGGAATCATGCTGTTACAAGTGTAACGTTCAAAGAAGTATACTTAATTTATTATAATTAGACATTCTAGGAATCGTAATAAAAAAATGTTTTGTGACATGACATAAAATTTTTTTTAAACTCTATGAAAATATATCTGCTATTATATGAATTTTAAACATTTGTTAAAAGGAAAAAAAAAAATATATATATATATATAACCATACAATAACAGAAAAATTATGGTTGAAACAAATCAGAAAATTCTAATCATATTAATCAAAATTTTAGTTATCTTGATTAGAATGATAACAGATGCTGAACTATTTTGATTTCCATTTTTAACCAGAAATTCATCTCTTTTTCCAGTGTAACAGGTTCTTTTCACTCTTATCTGGTGATGTGTGAACACTTATTTTCTTCTCATTTTTAAAATCATTTAGACAGAATTAATTTTTCTTTTCATATAGGAACTCGTGTAAAAAATTTTCAAAGTTTCACGAACGTGAGAAAATACATAGGCAAGAGCCGGATGTGCCTCGGAAAGAAGATGGGGACGTCGCATAACCTTCATCATCAGTTAAGAGTGCAACAGGGATGCTGTTTACCTTTCATCTCACGAATATACTCACGGCGATCTTATATGGGACGATGGTCTCTTCCGATATCGCTTCGGCGGCCTTTCGTGCCTCCTCCTCTCTGCGCAAGCAACAAACACAGCGATCAAGAAAATAGACTTTCTCTCGCAATGAGATCGACTGGTATTATGCGCGCGGATGCAATTATACGCTGAATACACCGCTTACGCGGATTCCAGTGTCGATCTCTCGCTCTCACGTTCTATCCTGCGCGCGAGTGATGGATCCCGCGAATGCGACAAATGGCAAAAGACGGGCCGCGACCAGGGATCCAGTAATAAAATCGCCGACCAATGATAAACAGATCTCTCATTCTGGGTCACCTATTTATAGATTTCGCAATACATTGCTACACACGTAGCTCATACGCCGGGATATTCTTGCAGCGTCGCCGAAGTTATTATCGAGAGTATGTCGGCGATGAATGATGCGTACCGCCCGTTCTTCTTCATCATTAGGCATGAGATCGGAAGACTCATTAAATTTGATCACGGCTTTTGGCCGTTATCATGCTTCGAAATTAAATCCGATTTTGGTAACAATGTAAGACGATTGAAAGAATTCGCTAGCTTCGGCAGTTCTTCCGTACTTTTGAATGTCTCTATATTATTCTACTGCATTAATACCATCAGCCAAAAATATATAAGGATATTTAAGGATTGATAATATATTATTTATCTTATATTTTATTTATCTTCCTCATATATATTTTATTTTGTATTTTTTATTTTATTTATATGTATATATGTATATATAATATGCTTTATTAGATATTAAAAGTTTCTTGCAGTAACAAGAAAAAATAAATCGGGACTCGGTAATAAATTATCGAAAATATTTTGTCGCTGTTTCGACACGTGGCGTAATTTAACTATCAATAACCTCAAGAACTAATATTGATTAAGAGCGATTTCTCCCGGGAGAGACCGTATGGGATAAAAGCTTAATTTATGCGAGTTGCATTCGACTTAGTTGTTGCATTTATGTACCCGTTTATTCGTCTTGGCCGCGGTGCAAACGGCGCAATTTATCTTCATTTCCTGTTTTGTCATTATCCAATGTAAACATTATGTATATGTATGCATGAATCTAATTAAGGTGCATTTTTTAATAGCAATATAAAATGATTTTTTTATCTAGTAATCTCTAATGGATAAAACAAATGAAAATATTTGAAGGAATTTATTAATTAAGATTTTAAATAATGTAATTTAAAAAGTTAAGAACATTTCAATTTTTCCAGCTTTTCTGAGTTACCTCCTATATAAACACACACATTTACAATTATGCTCAGAGTTTTAAATAGAAAACAAAAAGTTCGAGTTATGAATTACTTTTGAAATTGAAATAATATAAGAAATAATATAGAGTTTCCCTCCTGTGAAAACCCTCTTTTTCTTTGTTATCTCGCTGATGACTTACAACTATTGATCATCGTTCGAATTGGATGTAAAGCAAGTTAAATACAATTTATCTATACATTTAATTAATGTTTGTTCACTAATGATGCGTTCGGAGAGCTATTAGCGCTACTTCTGTTATTCTATCTTCGTTTATTAGACATAAAACAAGGATAAAATGACACAAATAGCATCTCCCTGAACGCACTTTAAGTATCGCACTGCACTCTTATTTGCCTGATTTTCCTATGTTATTTGAAAGAAAAAAGATTGTATTAAAGATGATTATGATTAATCTTTCTTATGCTCGCACATAATTGATGATCCTTGCGAGAGACTTACCTTTGTACACCTAAAACGAAATTATTGCCAGCGTGTACTAGTGCTTCATGCGCTTGTCCGTGAGTCAAGTTGATAATCGATTGATCGTTCAATCTTACTACGACATCTCCGACCTTTAAACCCATACATTCGCCCAGGCTACCCTCCGTAACCTGTAAATTATTTTCTCAATCTTAATTTTATCCTATTTTTCTTTTAACCTTTAAGATTTAATTACTGAGACAATAATCAAAACAATGATATTTTAAATAAAATAAAATAATTAAATTATTACAATTGAAATAAGAACCGTCACATCCTATATTTACGTATTTCATGTTCAGAATATAAAAATAATTAATGTTACTTAAATTATAATTTTGTGATTTTAACGTTCACATTAACATTAATAACTAATTAATTAGATAAGAAAAATATAAAACTCACTCTGATAACAGTAAGTGGCTGCGGAAAATCGCTGCCACCAGCTAGTCGAAAGCCCCATGGTGTATTGTCAAATTTTGTAAATTTTATATTGATTGCCATGACGCTCTACATCTGAAATTGTATCTAAT